GACAGCCACAGGATAGTTCCAATCATAACCTTGCTGGAACAAGACTTTTCCTTTCTGCTCTTTTCGCCAGCAGACACCTCCATACAAGACTGTCGCTTCTAAGAGAGGGCAGCAGACGTGCAGGGTGTGTGTGTGTTTATTTATTGTTCTAGGAAGCAGGGATCCCAGATCCTGGTGGGCTGTGGATAGCTAGAATTTCGGAAGAGGAGCAATCTTCAGCTTGCACAAGAGCCAAATGCTGTTGATAATATAACCTGTTGCTCTAGATGTAAAATGTGGGGAAACTGAGGATTGAGGGGCAGGCCTGCTGTAGTCAAAATCTGAGCAGGGTGGCATGGCCATGCAAAGCAACCCACAGCTTCCGCCCCCCCCATGCCTTCTTCCACAGTAGAGGGCACTCACAAAGCCAGACCAGACACATTATATAGCAAAAATGTTTAATCTCTCCTTGATGTGTGTGTTTATTTACAAGTACTAAATCTGAAGAACATTAAAATAGGAAATAGCAGGATATTTACACAATCAAAGGGTGCCGGATCCGCCACTCTGGCACAGTTGCTTCAAGTCTGAAACAATCACATAAAGTTATCATGATTTTCTTTTTAAAATTTTACTATTAAAATTCTTTATTATTGTTTTCTCTCTGCCCCCCCTCCAATGCCACCCCCCTTCCCCTGTTTTTAAAGGACAGCTGATGTGGCCTTGACATTCCTTAGAAAAGAAGGAGTGGCAGATTTTGTAACTCTTGCATTAGAAATCTGAGAGAGAACTGGAAGGGCGCCCAGTAGGAGGAAAACCACAAGGAGGTTCAACAGCTTCGATCACTGACTTGGACAGTGCCTAATCCTGTGGTTCTGTTTCTTATGTTTTTTACTTGTGGCTGTTTCTGAACCACCAGATCCAAGGGACTTGGGGCGATGGGATTAAATGAATAACAGGGCAAAATGAATACCCAAAAACATCCTGAGATGAGTGAAGATCGCATTGGTCTTTTGGCCAGACTGTCTGGAAGAGAACCAGCAGAGGCTGTGCAAGGAACGCCACATAATGAAGATGGCATGCACCTTTGAGTGCATTAGTAGGATCCCGTCATCTTGTCATACACATCTGGAACTCTACGCAGGATACTGAGGAGACCCGGTAGTGGTACCTAACTCTGTCTTAACGCATTCGCTCTCTGCTAGGCCTGTCTGAGCCACGAAATCAGAAGCCAGGACAAAGAGACAAAGAATACACTAGACACTTTCCTTATTAATCTGTCTTGAACCATTTCCTCAGAGTATCTTATTTCTGGACCCAAGCTATTTCCTATTTCCTTATTGTTAAGCTAGAAGGGACTCCCTTCATAGCCCAAGTCTGCAGTATCCTTCAAATCATGACACTCTCCTTCGAACACTTTGCTGCCATGGTTAGGATATTGGGGATACAGAGTAGAGAGCTCCAGGGAGGTGATGAAATGCGATAAAATGTTTGTAACAATGGATGAGAAAAGCTTAAATAAAGCCAGAAAAAAATTGATGTGCATTTCTCATATCTGAAGGAGTACTGAAATCATGAAGATGCTTTCTATAAGTCTTTAATGACTGGAACCTGTTAATAGTTTTACTAGGACAGGATCACAGATGATCTTATTGGCAATGCACTAACATGGTGCTTAATGGCAATTTTCTCTCTCTCATACACACACACACTCACACAAACACACCTTCAGAAACAGACATCTGCTTTTGATTTTAGGTGCTCATAGGGACCACAGTCATACCTAATGTCACTTAAAAGCACTTGGGTAAAGGGGAAACACACCAGACTGTCCAACTTGCCCAATGCTGATTAAAGTTCTCATGATACTTAAAAACTGCAAATAAACATTTCACTTGCAAGTTGTTCCAAACAAGGAAGTCCTCTTCTCTATAGCCATTATAAAGGCCTGCCTTTGGTTTTGACAGCTTTTTTTTGCTTTGCTTTGCTTAATCAGTATAACAGGGTCTATAAAATCAGTGCTAGCCCTGTCCCAAGATATCAACAACTTATATCTAAAGCTTCCTTTGTCGTATGATTATTTGAGTATCAAAACACACATCAAAAGATTTTCCAGAATACTAATTATACAGATGCACACAATCAAAGACCTACAAAACCTGAAGGAACATCAGGGGATTTAACACTGCTGCTAAAGCCCCTGGCAGCATAATTCCGAGATGTTTGAGCACAGATGTGTCAAAGGGCAACATAACCAGATGAAAAGTGCCAATTAAATATTTATACTTGTGGGAAGCAATAATATCCTGCTTCTTCTCCCACTGCTAATCCCACTCTGAATGGGGGAATGAAACCAAATGGCTACACCAGAATGACCCCTCAAGGGAACTAAGTGGAAGCAAGGACACAGCAGCCCAAAGCCCAAAAGTGGAAAGGCTTAAGGGAAGTGTTGCTGATTAAGAACAAAGTTTCCTCCAGTGCAAGAGGAGGTGAGGCAGAGGTTCATAAGCATGACGTAAGCCACCTTTGCCTGCCCCTAACAGATAACCCTCCAGTGGAATATTTGTCTCTGAATGTGGGAATTAGATCAGTCAAATGCTGATCAACAGAAAGGGGGAGATGTAGTAGCAACACTGCACAAAGAGATACAGATTTTGTCTGAATGGTTTTCAACATATTTCTCCTCCGTGGGCAATCGGAAAGCGCACTACAGCACTGTGTTCCCTGGTACCTATTGTTACCAAATAACCTATGGATACCATTTTAGATTTGAACAGGACCGATACAGTATGCGCTGCCATGTAATATTCTCTATGCATTCAGGACTGGACATAAGCATCTCTCTTGCACATTTTTAGTTAAGAAAGGATTATTTAAATTAATGAAAAACAACCCCTTGTTTAGCTATGAGGGCAGATGGTGGGGGTAATTACCAGCTAAAATGGGGCCTTGGTATAAGAAAGTGCTGCCATACTATAACTCTTGAGTGCTAAGTATGGTATTTCTGTAAATTCTGTTCTGAAATAGAACTAAATGCTAGATAGGGTCTTTAATACTCAGGTGTTATCCATGAATGCCCTTACATACGTCTTCATACTATTGTAATGTTTGCTCAAGTGACAATCACAGTCAGAAATGTTCTCAGTAATGTTTAATTAAAAGTTTCCTTTCTGTTGCAAGTTCAGCCAGATTTATGGTTTTCCGTTGTGTTCAGATTAGAAAATCATGGATAAATAATTTGTTACTCCTTGAATAGATCCTCTTAACCGCACCCCACCCATTTCTTTTTATGTTCCTGTGTGTGTGAGCTTTTAGTAGTGGTTTTCTTTCACTACAAAAAGAGAACATCTTGGAAAAGAAGCTTTTCTTGGTAACAGCCCCTAGAAATGGGTACCAGGGCAATTAATCACTAATGTCTCAGCCACAATCAACAGAAACCTATGAAATGGGTAGAATATGAAAACAGGATGGACTAAAGGCACAGGCATTTAAGACCCTCAACACCCACTGTATCTGTACATGCAGGACAGGCTAGTGGTTCAATTACTTTGACTATTTAAAAAATTACCATAAAGCAGGCCTGAGGGAAAACCAACTAAGGACAACACAGAAAAGGCCTCCACACAACAGTCATTTAACAATGGTGTTGTCTGGATGCTCCATTCAATAAGTAAAAGATGGGCATTCCGGAGAAAAGTGCTAGCATGGAAATAATCTAGCTCTGGTAAAAGAAAAACTGCCCTACTGAGAATTGAGAGTATAAAGAGATTCTCTCCTTATTCAATGGATCTGTTCCATATGAACTCTTTTCAATACTGGAAGAATATCTGCTCCCATACAATGGTAGCTGTTGATTTAAGCTGAACTGAAATGCAAAATATCAGGGAGAAAAGGAAAAAAAAAGGGATGACAATTCAGGTGCAGTTCTCTGCTTTCCATGTGCATCTCTTCCCTGCCTGTGGCAAAACCACTGCATTTTTGTGCGGGCTCAAGTCTTTGTTTACAAAGCCATTGGCTCTCTCTTTGTGAGCCACAGTCCTACCACTGAATGAAGTCAGAGGAAAAGGGAACCTCCCCTTTTCTCCCATCAGACGACCATTCCATAGGGACTCAATAGTGACAGTCACACAAACACACACACACACACAGAGCACAGGAAGCCCCAGAATGAGAAGGACCACAATGCAATAAGCAAAACAAAAAGTCTATGTATATGGAGACAGACACCTCTTTTTCCTGGCCCAATGTTCGAATAATGCCCCACCTGATTTAGCCAATTTTCCATGGGTTCAATGTACACTTCACATGCAGAAATGTATTATCCAGGATGTTTACATTTCACCATCGTGGCATCTGCCTGTGTTCCTGGGCATCAACATACTCTTGTACAATTTAGAAGATCAAATATTAACATAAGGCCCAGAGAGCAACTTTTTTGACAGCCAGACCCACATACCAGATCAATCTGAAGCACCTAAATGTAAACTGGGTAGTTGAACGGTTTTCCACCTATGTCTGAAAGATCCAGGGAAGGAATGCTGACCTTCATACACATTCCTCACTGCTAACTTTTCTTTTTACTGTTTGGTTAAAGACATCTTTCTCAACAGCCTGACTATAGAAGGATGGCACTTCAACTAGGATCAGTAATTGAGATGGTAGGATAAGATTAATTTGGCTAAAGCCTTCAGAAGAGAGAAAATCCCAGCCTAGTCCTGGAAACTGAACAGATTCCCCCCTTGCGTTCTTCAGGCTCTTCAGATTGATCCAACTCTGATGAGCTCCATAGTGTTGTCATTCTGTGTGTGTGCATGTGGGAAGCCATAAGAGAATGGTGCTTAGTTGATGCAAGCACTTAAACATTTCTCTCCAGTGAAGTATCCCAAGATATTGGTGAAATGAGATGCCTAGATAAGAAAGGTGTTTAAGTGAGAAGCAATTGAGAATGGAATGTGGCTTTTTTCTTTTTCTTTTCCTCCAGCCAAATCAGTGCTCTCCAGTAAATCAAAACAGAGGAGAGATTCGGTCACTTGCTTTTATAAGGTCACAAGTACACTTGCAGAGTGCCCAAAGCCAAAAGATCCAGGAGCCTTCACAAGTATCAATCCCATAATATTCTTTATGCTCTCAAAAGACCCTTCCAACAGAGGCTAGGGAGGAAAACCTGTAAAATATTACAGTAGATTTTGTGTGTAGCAACATTGAGCTGTCCTTTAAAAGTTTTGAGTACCATTTCCAGAATAAACAGTTGATGTTAATCTTTTTCTTGTACAAGTGACAAATTAATTCCAAAATTTTAAAAATAAAAAGGTCTAAACAAACCTCTAGTATTCAACACTTGCATTTTTTTTCTTTTAAAAAAAGATCAACTCAGACTAAACTCTAGCACAGTCATGCAACAGCCCACAGATCCTATGGATCCAGACACCTCAGGATTCCATAGGGTTTTTTTGTTTTATTTTATTGTCTCCTTGTCTTTTCCTCTTCCTCCTCTTTAATAATAAAAAAATTAAAAAGGCTAAAAACAAAATTACAAAGCAATCTGAGATGTATACAGAATTTAAGAGATTGTTCTGCTTGATGAGAAATGTTTGATTTTATTCCCCACATTTGGTATTTTTCACTGCTTGTGTAAAAAAACCATGGCCAAAATCGTACTGATACTCCTGTAAGGTTTAAATAACTTGCTGTGACTGATGATATTTTCTTTTGTGTCTTGATCACATGCTCCGCTACTCACCCAATGGCATAGCACCTTTTCAATTAGCCACAATAAGTTACACCAACCTTACTAGAACACCAATAGGATTCCAACCTATATTTGATGATCTCCTTCAGTTGACTATACAGTGCCCCACTGGGGCACAAGAATTAGATTGTAACAACATATATATATATATATATTTATATATACACACACACATATTTTAAATTTTAATTAAAAACTTCATTACATCCTTCTCCTCCCCTTATTTGCACTCTAGGGGAATAGACAAACCTAGGCTCGGTATGTTCTGCAGGAGCCTCTCTTTAGCATTACCTTGGCTGAGACAGCAATTTCTATATGGGTGAGTAGTCGAGGGTGGCAAATCTGGTGGATTTGATCACCTGAGTTGAATTAGGGCAGTGGCTTGTCACAGTAGTAAACTCAAATTATGATTATAGGCATTGCAAGAGAGGGCATTTGGCTACGGTGCTATGCATGCTTACTTGAGAGTAGATCCCACTGAGCTCAGTGGAACCAACTTCTGAATAGACCATCATACAATGACACATTTAAATGAAGTATGGACGGAGCATCCAATGGAATGGTGAAGCGTTAATGAAAAGAGACTGTAGTAAAAAGAAGAGAGATTTCAGGAAGAATTCTAATAAGACCCTTCTGTCTTTCATAAGCCCTTGCTGTTAGTTTTGGACTCATTAAGCCCAAGCCATATGGGTATTTCAGGTTCTTCAGAAATGTCTTAATCAGTGTTACTGGAAATTTGTTCTTTTTATTTCTTTATGTGAATGCATAAACTGCCCTGTGATACAGGAAACTTAAAAACTGTACTACTGTACAATTTAAAATGGAATGGGGAGGGGCAACATGTAGATTGGGCCACAGGAGAGCCACTTTCTCATTTGCTAAGCTTCCCCTTGTAAAGTAGAAACAAAGATGCGGAATTAGGTTTGCCCACTCAAAATCTTAACATAAAAAAATAAACAGAAGCCTCAAAGACTCCACCTTGGGTTGGACAACGTAGCAAAGAACAAAAGCAGGACTTCTGTTGCAAAAATGATCTCCTCGGCAGTCATCCATTAGCCCTGGTCCCAGCATCAGTCAGATGGGAGTGGAGGATGCTCTGTTGTCTCAACAAAGATTATTATTTCCTTGCTTTCTAGGGAAGCTGAGAGGCAAGGTATTCAAAAGGAGCTATGGGAAATATAGCTGCATGTGACATCAGACCCATTAAAAGTACTCATCTAGAAATAACAATATCCATTCTAAGCCCTTTACTTGGGGACCATGACTTCCCCATGACATCAGCACAAACAAGAGAGGAGGAATACTGAAATCTTGTGCTGCCATGCAATTATTACAAAACCACACTTTCTTCTCACTTTATACTACCTTCTCCTTTCTCACAGGCCAAACCCCAAAGAAATTTGTAAGTGTCCTTACTAATTTTTATGAAGATGATAGTTTGCTGTAGATGGGACAATTTTGTTATGGATCATGTTTTGCAAAATGCCCTATGTTTTGCTGAAAGTGAGATGATGCATTAGTCAGACATTCTAAAGAACCGTGCACAGATGCACACGCATATACAGGATCGAAATGAAAGAGGGACCCATCTATTATATGCTATTTCATTTGGGGCTAAACTAAAATTCTGTGCGGTTCTTTCTTTGATCTTCATCTCTTTGGATGAAGTCTGCCCTCACGACATCTCTCAACTAGGCCCAGTATTACTATAGTCTTCCAGTGCCATGGAAATGGAAGGAGCAAGGGTTTTAACATAGGGAGGAATAACCAGGCCTTCTGGACGGCCCAGACCCTATTTTCAAGTGCTACTGCATCTGCTACTAAGAAGGCTTGCCTCTACTAAAGAAGAGGGAATACTGTACTGAGAGTTGGCTCCAATGGGAGAATTGCTTGTTTAAAAGTGCCCATATCAAAATGCCCTACAAGGGAAACATTTACCTATAGTGGCAGAGGGCATCTCTCATGGGGGGAAGGGCAAGGAGGGCTTCTCAAGAGTTTCTTAGCTCAGCTTCCAAACAGACCACCCTATCCTGTCTATAAAAGGACAAGGAAGAGATTTTTCTGGAAAGTGTGGTGTTTCTAGAAAATAAGGCTTGTTGCAACAAAACAGGGAAAAAGCATCCCCCACTTCCAGAAAGCTCTTTGCCTTCTTGAACCTCAGACTCCAGTTACCCTCTTTAGCAGCATTTGAAACAAGAGCATCTATTTGGCCTGTGCTACTAAACAACATTCAAATGAAAGATGGCACAGGGCAAAGTGTAGGAAGAACCAAAGATGCTGGGACTCTTACCTTGGTCCCAATCACCCTATTCCTATCCCAACCAAATGAAGGTCCTTTCTTTCATCAAAAGAAAGAAAATCTTGCAAAAATTTGTTGAAAATTTAGAATCCCCCCCCCGGCGCCTTAAAAAAAACAAACCACAACTAGCTTCTGGAAATTGTGCAAATATAGCAGTTAACACTAGAGGCAGAAGGCCAGAGAGAGAGAAAGGAAGAGAAGATAGAGTAGGGTTGTCAGGCAAGGTGGGCAAAGAAAGGACAGAAAGGGGGTGGGAGACAAAACTATAAGCCGACCCACACACCTGTTATGGGGAAACCATAATGTAAAAACATTGTCCTAGACATTAGTGCAGCCCCCCCCCCAACCTTCCGTTGCCAGATCTGGGATAGGCGTTGGTGGGGGCGCTGAGCTGGATTTCTTCCTTCTGACCCTCTTAGCGCCTCTCCTGGGGGTCCTTTAGTTTCTTTGCCATGTCATTCCTTTCAAAAGGTCTTTAGACACAGTCAAGTTGCTTTCGATACCAGCGGCTTAAGTCTTTGCTGTTTGTGGGTGTGAAGTTTTCGGGGGTGCAGCAGGCTCTGTTTTGTGCTACACCCCAATATATTCTCTTGCTTGCTTTCTTCCTGCCACCGCACGCCTGCCCTCTTTCTCTTTCTCTCTCACTCTCTCTCAGTATCCACTGCTAGGGAAGTCTGCAGTGCCGTCTTTCAGCTGCTTAGGGCCATTGTGTCAATTGCCTGCTCCAACTTACTCCGCAGCCGTTGCCTTCGGGCTTGTTCATCCTTCTCTAAAGCAGCTAAAATCTGGCAAGGAAAAGAACACACAAAACCAACAGTCAAGAAAGATTTTCCTCCAAATTGAAACACTCTTTACAAGTGCCAGTGTAGAAAGGAAGTCCAAGTGAGACCTCCCTAAAACCACCAGTGGGCCAACCAAAAAGATGAGGGAAACGCCTATGATGGAACCTCCTACAAAACACCAAAAGGGAAATGATGGCAAAAAAAAAAAAAAGAGAGACTCACTTAAACTGACTCTCAGTATTATTTCAGGGAATTTAAGGTCCCCTCCCAGTGTTTTTCAAGGTAACAGGGAAAACAGGGTACAATGCTGGGGAGGAAGGAAGCTCAATGTACTACTCCTTTGTCTCCACTTTCTCCCTTAGTCTGGCTTGCTTCTCGTTTAAAAGTTCAGCTGGTAAAAAAAACATTTTTTGCCACCATAGTGAGGTAGGAATGGTAGGAACAGGATGAGAATCTCAGAGTGGAAAAAGGCTTAGGCACCTCCTGCACACTACTGATTTTCTGTTTTGAATGCACCCCACAAATCAGATATTAATCTACAAAGAAACCAAAGTCCTTGCTAACAGAATATCTATCTATTCTCTCATGTTAAAGGGGCATAAAGGAATGTGTCTTCATGGGCATACACACTGAGAATTAAACATCCTAAACTGTGGGATATTTTTCTAGGAATGTTACAGAATTTTCTTCTTGAAATGATTTTCTGGAGAGAACATTTGAGCAAGAGGTCCTAGTATTTTAGTACCAGCTAAGTCAGAGTAGTAAAACTTTATCAACGCATCAAAGATAACAAAACATCAAGTGAAACACTATAGCAGTTAGGAATCATTCACTATTCAGCATTTACACATTTTATCTGAGAGGACTATGCTGTTTACTCCCACATGTGAAAAATATGGCAATCCCCAAAATTAATGAAACCTGATCACAGTGAATCTAGGATAGAGTCTGATCCTATCTGCCTCTTTACCTGGTCACATGTACAGTTACACTCTTTAACCTCTGGTTTCTCAGTAAAGCTAGAGAAACTGCCAATGAAGAATCTGAATCTGCTGGACGAACTCAAGCTGATTCTACACGCAATCTTGACGCCTGCCTCAGTCCGTATACAACCTCCTTGCTATGGAGATACCTTCACAGCAGAAGAAACACTGCAATACTCAACTGAAATCCCTAAAAAGGCATTCAGAAAACATTCTATGTATTTAAATTTTTAATGTTTTAATGTGTCAATGTTTGAATGTTGTTATCTTTTTTTATGATGTCCTATATGCGCTGGAAAACAGGGTTTGGCAGTTCAGTTCCACCCTGTGTTTGTGGTGGTGCAGAGTGAATGTGAACAATTAATCCTAAGGCTGTGATTTATCTGTGAACCACCCAGAGTACCCTGGCTGGCTGGCTGGCTGGCTGGCTGGCTGGCTGGCTGGCTGGAAGGACGGACGGACGCCGAAGAAGAGCAAGAGCAGATGGGAAGGAAGGAAGGAAAGGAAGGAAGGAAGGAAGGAAGGAAGGGATCCCTGAATCTTGGGGACAGGAAAAACCGGAGTTGAGAAACGATACAGTAAGGCCATGGTTGACTGTCTGGAACCCTAAACTGTAATACTTAATAATACTGTACAGTGTTTTGTGGAAGGTCCAACTTACAGAGTTTTACAAAGAAAGAAAGAAAAATGAAAGCACACAGACATGTATACATCTTGTATTTAATGCAACTTGAATCTTCCCTGAAAGATTCCAGGGAAAAGCTGACAGGGAATGTGGAGGACCTTAATCAGCACACTTCAATCTGGAACCACTAACCCACATTACTTGCATATTCTGTTCTCATCTAATTCCGAAAATCTCTAAATCACCATTTGCATGCAAGGTTGAAAATCTTTGAAAACCCCCACTTTTACATTCTATAATCTCCCAAGTTATATGAACTGAGGAGTGGCCGTGGTTGTAGTGAATAGGGCTTTGAAATGGTGAAGGGAAAAAGGTGCATTTGCAGAAAAGGCAGGTGCTGAGGTTCCAGAAAAGGGGGATTAAGAAAGTGAGAGGATGGAAGAATAAAAGAGACTCCCATCCTCAGAAGTCCCTTGAACAAAGGCCCATCTCCTTTAAACTGCACTACCAGATAAGGAAGAGATGATTAAAATGCAAACCTATCAGAAATCCCATTATAGTGGCTAAGTTTGTTGTGAGAACAAGGTGGATTTCTCTTTCCAATTAAATGTCAAGGCATCCATCAAAGGGGACTTGATTAACCATTTCATTGGCTGCATAATTGGAAACAAACTCTTGTATAATTAATAGACTGACTATTAGGAGGCAGGAAAGGTCCATCACAAGCCCTACAGGTAATTCCTTAATATGGAAATCAGTTCCTTTGATTAAGAGCAGCTGCAGTGCCCTACAGGTCTCTTGCACTAAATGTGCAGGACGTGCTGTGGAGAGTACACCGTGCTGTAGCTTGACGCCTTGCGGATGCTGAAATGCTTAGAAGTGTCGTGCAGATTATAGAAAGGTTAGTTGCCACATAGTTAGTAAATGCACGTGGCACCGGAAAACAGGGTTTGGCAGTTCAGTTCCATCTGTCTGTGTGGGTGTGGGTGGTGGTGGTGCAGAGTGAATGTGAACGATCAATCCTAAGGCTGTGCTTTTAAGGGGGTAGATCTCATTGAACTACTCCTGACAACACTCCAAATATCAAAGGGGATTCCACAGCCTCCATGGAATAAAAAGCTGGGCCACTCATTCTGCACGGGGAGAATCTGAAGCTAAGCTTGGCCACGTGAAAGGCTCTTGATACGTCATCTCAGGACCCCTCCCTGCCACCAAGCAGGAGACCACTGGATGGTGCCAAAAGTGCTCAATGCAAACAAAAACATCCCGCTAGGTTGAGTGAACTAAAATCCTAAAGGCACTGGGCCCAACAAGCAGGTGGGAACACGTCTACCCACCGTCCCCAATTCCCCTTCCAGCACAGAAGTCTGGGAATGCAGCAAGATTTACAGCCAGTATTTGCTTGATCTTCTGTTATCATGCTACCCTTCTGAGAGTAAAAGGGGGAAAAACTACAAGGCTTATAAAGAAAGAGATACATGTCTGTCACCTGCTTTCAGGAGCTAGGGCTGCCGTGATTAGGAAGATGCAAAACCCCAAATGAAAATTAATTATAATTCTCATTCAGCACCAATGACAGCGTATTATAGCACTAAACAACAGGAAAAATTATTCTCTCCTATTTTGCATTGAAGAGGGTGCAGTCGGGCGGCATGTAATTGTGTTTAATGAATGAAAACAAACAAAAGGAACAGCTGCTATTTATTAATCCCATTACAAATAATAAAAAGAAGTTCCTGAGAGCTGTAAACATACAGGCAGTACTTCTCAGAGTGGGCTATGGGTGCACATTCAACAGATACCAGGCAGCCCTTAACCGAGGAGGAGGAGGAGGAGGCAAGGCAATTTATCTTACACCCAGCTCATTAAAATCACACTTTCTGACCACACAGTTCTTGGCTTGTTATTAATATTCTGCTTTCAAATCCTGACGGATTTGTAATAAAGGTGGGATGGTTTTGAATGGGAATGTTGGTACCTGAGCGATCCGCCCCACGGCTGGCCGTTGCTATGACCGTGTCCCCAAGAGCAGCTCTTATTGGGTGCCACCTTTGCTCCCAGCTAAGGGAAAGGATTTTGGATGGGGAAATGCAGCAGCTGTGCCGGCTCACTGCTGGGGCCTGGGTGGACCTGACATTTTTTCTCATGTTGGGAGGCAGAGGTGAGAAACGCTTGGGGCTTTGTGTGTGTGTGTGGACTACAGAATAGCTAGTCAGCATGGGCAGCGGCCACACCATGAAGTACAGTACTCTGAGATCTGTAGTAAAACACAAAACAAATGTTTCCCATCATTTTAGTGGTGCAGCCTTAAGCTGTTCCTGGCTAGAAGGACTTGCACTTGTGCCTGCTCTTGAGAAAGGCATCGCCGGCATGACGAGCATAAATCAGGGCCCCAAACTACCAAATTTCTCCAAGAGAAAAATTCAAGTAGAATCTGTTGCTCATACGGCTACTGAGAAACGAAAGGAGTACTGACTCGACACATTTTATTTCATATGAATATGTAATGTGCTGCTCTCTTCTGTACACACAGGAGGTGGCAAATGACCAGTGCCTGCCTTTTAAAAGGATCTCTAAGGACTCTCCTCCTATGGCCCTACCAAAAGCTGCACTCCATAGCTATGAAGCCCTTTCTGCTAGTCAACACCAACAGCATGAGCCTGATCATCTACAGAAATTTTGGGGTGGGGGCTCTAGCTGCCTTCCAAAAGAATTAAGTGACCACCTATGGTCAGGGAACTTTTTTACCTTTTCCCCCCCCCCCAATTTTTTTGATATACATTGACCTTACCCCCTGGGCTCTTGCCGTCCGCGGCTGACCCCCACCCTGCCTCTGTGTTCGCCTGGGACCTGTGGCCACTGTCTGGGCAGCCAGTCTGGAGCTGCCACACCGCTGGGAAAGCACATCCTTGGCGAGGGGAGGGGGGCGCCACAGGGCCGGCAGGTCCACTGGCCATGAGCTCAGGTGTGGTGGGGCGGGAAGGGGGCCTCCTCGCCAGCACGCCGGGTGGGTAGGCGCGGGGAGGAAGGAGAGCTCCGGCCAGGACTCCACCGGGCAAAGAGTCCAGCTGGCCTGGTTTGCCACCCTCCTCCGCACTTTAGAGGCAAGGAGGACAGGCGGGTGCCCTGTGCAGTTCCTCACCAGGGCTCACTGTCCCCGCAACGGAGTGCCCGCTTACACACAGCATCATCGGAAATAAAATGCCTGGGAGTAAAATGCCTGCCGCAACCATTCTCATTACCCCCGGGATTTTCATTTTTACCCCATTTGGGGTAATTTACCCCTGTTCCCTGACCGCTGATCTATGGTATACCTGCCTCACAATCACCTTTAAGACTACACAGTGTTAGCAGAGTAACTTGTGGATCTCCCCTTTGTAAGGGGACAGGCGAGTTATGCGTAGGTCCCCCCTTGCTCTCTCTTAGTTATAATATCTGAAGCTTTGTGTACATGCAAGAAAGACACTTCTTCCATGGCTCTTTATGCCTAGGGACTGGACCACAGTGAGTGTGTGATCCTTCTTTCATAGAATCATAGAATAATGGAAGGGACCTACAAGGTCATTGAGTCCAACCCCTTGTACAATGCAGGAATCCAAATCAAATCAGATCTATTTTCCTAGTTTTTTTTTAAGCAAAAGCTCCAGTAAATCTGGACTGGAAGTAAAAGGCATTAGTTGGATGTTTTCTAACCTTATACTGCACCTTTATTAGCTGAGGGATCTAGACAGTTGTCCTATATCTTGGAAGCACCACATGGGGAGGGCAAATACACAGTGATCTCCAACAGCAATAGGAGATTGTGGAAGATGGAGGAGGAGAACCTTCAATATTTTCTTCTATCATGGAGCAATCTGGATGTATTCATAAGCCTTTGCTAATATGCATCGCTCAGAAGGGGCTGGCATGAAGACTCGTTCTTGTGGTGTAGTAAATAGTCCTACATGTTAATAGCACTTAGGTTGACTGATGAACAGCAGTGTGTGTTTAGGAACCGGAGAGACTGAAAGCTGGTCACAGATTCCAGGGGGAAGGAAGGGCTGGGATACAGAGCACAGCAGCAGGAGGCTGGCATGTGGTCAGCAACTCAACATCCCATCCTGGTGGGAACTCTGCTAAGGCTGACATGATGGATCTTGGGACTCCACATCCGAAGCAACATCAGTAAGAAGTACGTGTTTGGTCTGCAAAAAGTCACACTGCTGTCGGACACAAACAGGCAAATCTTCCCTGACTAGGCTAAGATGTAATTGCTAAAAGTATATATTCCCACCTTTTTGCATGTGTCTATGAACATGGATATATGCATCTATTCGAACTTATTCTTTCCCTAACCATCACAAGAAAGCGCACCCATTTATCTAATGCTTTAAATATAATGATTTACAAGTAATACTAATGCATTTTCAATGTGTTACAATTGTTACTTATGCTCTGCTCCTCCTTGTGCCATTTAAGTAATTCTTCACTTGGGCACTTCTGATTCTAATGGTCAGAGTTTCTAGTCCTGTACAGACTGCAGGAGTGAAGCTGGGCTGGGGAGAGCCGGGAGCAGCTGAGCAGCTTTAGCTGAAAACTACAAAGTATTCTGCTAAAAAGCACATTTGAAAATAGTAAAAGAAATTATTCCTGCTGGGTAAGTCTTGTTGGACGTGCATGGGTGTCTCTTTCTCTGCAGCTGGAGTGAGGAGATCCTGTGTTAGAAAGTGTGTCTTTTACCAACCGAATAGTTTTCACATACAGTATATTGGAACCCCCATCCTTTGCTAATGACTGCATTTACAGTACCAGGGAGGAAAAATGCATGCCCAAATGGAGAAGGCAATTCCTAAATGACAAAAAGAGTTGTTTTGAGTGCTCCCTTGGGTCAATGGCAACAATCTACATACCCTTCTCTGTTATGCTTTTCTTAATATGCTTATCTGAAAATTATCGCATTAATCAACAAATCAACGTATTAAATATGCTCAGATTTAACTGTCAACAGCAATGAATTAAATCTCCCCATTTCTAATGTTTAACACCAAAGAATTCATCTTCTGGCTGAACTTTCTGACCTTTGCCTTTGCTGTAACTCTGTAAGGCAGGCAAATTGATTATTCATACTTGTTCTACTAAAGGTCCTCAAGCTTCTGCACAAGAATGTGGGCCAATACAATTGAGAAAGGCCATGGCTGAGCACCAACCCAGGCTTCCAAATGTCTAAATCTTGTGCCCTATCTATTCAATCACAAATTAATGTATTCTTCAATTCTCTAGTCCAGTGGTTCTTAACCTTTGTTACTCGGATGCTTTTGAACTGCAACTCCCAGAAACCCCAGTCAGAACAGCTGGTGGAGAAGGCTTCTGGGAGTTGCAGTCCAAAACTCCTGAGTAACCCAAGGTTAAGAACCAGTGCTCTAGTCTGTTAAATTCACTGCTGTGCAACACCTTTGCCTCTTCCTCCTGGGATCCATTTCTCTCTCTCTCTCTCTCATTGTGCTCCCATTTCTACTGTTCCACTGAGAGGATTTTATTTCACCAGCTCTCAAAGGAACTTACTTATACCCATGCCCAAATGACAATGCAGGACGGTCTGGCAAATGCTCTTACAAATAAAATAAAATAAAATAAAATAAAGAGAGAGAAAGAGAGAGAGAGAGAGAGAGAGAGAGAGAGAAGATGACCCAAAACAAACCTCTTTATTGCTTTATGCAAGCCACTATCCCTTTCCCTCAGCTCTCATCTCTCAGTTGAGCAATAAAATCCATGTGATCCTATTACATATATTTTTATTAGTGCTATATATTTCATTGCTTTAATAAAGGATTGCAGAGATTGTATTCAAAAGGTTTGTTAGGGAGTTTGTGCCAATTACAGCAATAGGTTTTTAACTACTCTTAAAACTTTACTGGACAATTAGAGTAACTCTCTTGTGAGAGCCAACATCCCACTCCCCAACCTGCAAATCAGGTAATCTATGCACAGGTCCATTGGAATCACCCAGGATAGTGGAAAATGAAAACATTCAAGCAGAGAAAAGGTCATGTACCGAGATGGAGCCTCTTCCTTGTATTCTCCATGCTGCTGGCACTCCAGAGTAATTTATGAAATGGAGGTGGTGGGTAAGGGGCCTTCTTATGTTTTGCTATTTGTTTCATTTATTTTATGATACATGTTTTTCTATCTGACAATTTGCTGACATTGCCACAATGTTTTTGTATTTTATTTATTTTCTTATTAATATTTCTAACATAAAGAAGAAAAGGCTTTACACACACACACACACACACACACACACACACACACACACGCGCGCACAAACTGGCCCATGCTTGTTTACCTTAAGCAATTTGACCCGTAACATAAAAGGGAAGAGAGGAAGAAGGGAAAGGAAGCATGAATATATTATATACCGTATTTTTCGTATATAAGACGCCCCCCCACTTTTCTAACCCAAAATTAAGAAATCTAAGTGGGGCTTAACAAGGATCAAATCCCTGCAGGGATCAAATCCCTGCAGGATCACTTTGATCCCTCCTTTCCCCTATACTTATTTGTCAGGGGCGGCAGCTTATTCTCCCTTCCTCCGCCAGTTATCTTTGTAAATATCTCCCACCCACCTCTGAGATAGTTCTGTAATTCCTGCCCCCAACACCTTGTGTCCAAACTCTTAGGAAAATCCAGCTTAGGAAGCAGGAAGTACTCTAAAGGGAAGGCAGGATTTGCAGGGTAAAATCAGCAAACTATGGGAGGCCCTGATGAGCAAACATGCAACTTCTCAGCATGTATTCACATTCTTGAATATATTGCTTTTACACACCACAAAGTAAAAGAAGCTGTATACAGGACTATTTTAATCATATTAAATAATGAAGTTGTGGTTGTCTGTGTACAGGAGGAGTTCCAGGGCAATATCTGAGCGCTTGTCATTTTTTAAATCTAATTTGTTCCTGTGCTCAAGAGAAAGAATGATTCTTCATGGCTCTCTACAGAAGTGGGAGATGCAATGTCTAACTTGCATCTGCATGCCCAATTCCAACCACACTCCCAATGTTTTTCTCTCCCACTACATAAACACCTCTTCCAGCATCCCCTGTGCCAATAGAATGAATGCTGAATTGATCAAGAATTCCCCCCCCCCGTGAAACTACAACACACTGATTTACTCCTAGCTGCTTTAAGTGATCATTTATAGCTTAATAAAAGCTATCATATAAAATATTTTTTGCCTTTTTTTGGCCTTTTCTTAACTGTATCAGTGGATCTAAGGACTGGACATAAAATCCGGTGAAAAGCTACTTTAAGAGGCACCCTCCATATGATACAACTACCCTTGCCATTCCTCGTGATCAGGATTTTTGTCCATTTTTCCTTATCAAGAGACACAAAGTTTTTGGAATAAGGAAGAAGAAAGAGATTTGTAATAAATAGTAACATGGAGGCTGTTACTAAAAGCTCTGCTGCTCCTTACCTCGTCTTTGTACTTGGTGATGTATGAGTAGATCTCATGCAGTGCACTCATACTGTTGAACTGGCTCAGGTGTAACCGTGACTGCTCTGCCAGGTAAGCGCTCATGTCTTGGTCACTGATTGCTGGCATTTTAGCAATATCTGCATAATATCTACAGCAGGGAGCAGGAGAGACACAGCATGTTGATTAAAAACAGAAGGTGCTTAATCCAGTTAGAGAAAAAAATATTCTTTCTGAAGGTATAGCTGGAACCTTCCAGAAACAGAAACCAAGAGTCCTTTAGAAGATTCGAAACAGGGCTTTGTGCAGGTATAGGACCTCATTAGTGTGAGCCACAAAAAGCATGAAGAAGAAAAATCTATTTATTACACTGGAACAACTGTTTATTATGTGAAGAGTATCAGATCAGAGCTTGAGAAAATTCTTCTTCTTCTTCTTCTTCTTCTTCTTTTTTCTGGACTACCACTCTTGGAAGCCCCCCCCAGGAGATGGCTGTTCCATTGAGGAGGTTCTGGGATTTATAACCCTATAAGCAACTTTTCCAAATGCTGGATCAGTGTCCATGGCTTCCCACTCCTCTATCCAAAGACCATCTTCTGATGCCCTTTCACGCGGTGACAACTGGAAGCAGAAAGTTCTGTTACCCTTGAGAGAAGCCTTTGCGTGTCTTTCCATAATGAGAGGATTGGATGTGATTTGCTGAGAAATCCATGGTGCCCAGAAAAGTTTGTAGTGGAAACAGAAAGCAATTTGGGGGATCAGTAGAATCACCAGAGCCGACAAACTTCAGAGTGCTGGCCCAGGTCCAACACTGAAAAGTCAACAGCAGGCCTGGGATTAAGTACATTTCTAGGATTAATTTATACCTGTGGGGGCTCATGTGACTGGAAAAGAGACACAGATCCGTTCACAGACAAGTCATTGTTCGTTTTTTGCTGCCTAACCGAAAACTCTTGAAGATACCTCATCAGGAGTTGGTGGTGTCATGCAGATGGAGTACTGGATCAAGGAGATCAAGGATGAAATCCCCGTTTGGCCCTGAAATTCACTGACGATCAGAATGCTCCCCTATCTTGGTGGACAGAAGATAAAGGTGACTTCCCTCTTTCTTGGAAGCCCTTTTTACCAACTACGACGTGGTTCTGGAGGATCTCCTAACCCTTCAGAGCATCTTGCCTTGTGAATATAGTGAGGTTTTAAGGGAGAGGAAGAAATTGGCAAAGACTGCTTCTTTCTCTCTTGAGCAAATGGCGACACACAGCTGGGCATTTCTTTTCCCAGATGTCTCATTCTGCATTCAGCCTAATATAAATTGCTCCTTCCATGATAGCACTTGATTTATTATACATCAGTGGAGACTGTGAGCAAAGAAATAATCATTTGTAACTGGCTAGTTAGATGGTTTCAGTCTCCAACCCATGTTTACCAAAGCCTCTCGCTTTCCAGAAGAAAAAACAGAAAAGTTTACAGCTCCTTAAATCTTTCAAGTACATATTCGCAAAATCGAAGCCACTCACCTTTCTACCCAGCTCTTATAGTTGGGGATGTCCTTGGCATACAGTAGTTTATTGGAGGGAGAATCTTTCCCTAGCTTGTGCTCAGAAGTTGAGCAGGAGTCCATGAATGTCTGAGCCACCACTGATAGGCAAGCATCAGTAATACTGTTCTTGTGAATGTCAAACACAAACTGGGGATTCTTAATCACATTCACCCAAAAACGCAGAGGTAGACTGCAGAGAAAAATAAAGGAAAAAGTCAGGTTAGGAAAACATATTCTTAAAAAATACAAACAGAGCCCTCCCCCCCCCCACCCGGACCATTACCTTTAGATGGTCAGCAATGCCAGAAACTGGGGCAGATATTCTCTCCTAAACTCTACACAGGGAAATGCTTCAGGAAAAAAACACACCAACTATACCAGTTCTTGTCTTCTGTTGTACCCAGTTACTTCCTCTCAATATGGAATGAAGCACCCAGTAAGAACCTTGATATTATACAAGGAAACTGGATTATTTATTAAAGGCAACTGGTATTTACAAGGCAGGACTGAATATCAGAAATGTTGGGGCACCAGACTTTTCTAAGATGGGAAGAATATCCACACTTAGGCCACAGTTGATGCCACCCTTTTGTGGCATATGATGGAAATGAAGGCTGGGAGAGTAAGGATAGTTGGACTTTGGATTTACCAGAATGTCAGAACTTTCTGCATTATTTTTTTGTTCTCAGGTGCCATCAAGCTGCTTCTGACGTACAGCGACCCTGTAAATTAACAACCTCCAAAAGGTTCTATCATTAATAGCACTGCTCAGATCTTGCAAACTAAAGGCTGTGGCTTCCTTTACTGAATCAATCCACCTCATATTCTGACCTTCTCTTCTTTGTTTTCGTTTCCCCCCCTCTGAGTCTTGTCTTCTTATGAACAGTATTAAGCATGACACCCTCATCTTAGTCATTTAATAATGCATAAAACATGTCATAATGCATTGCATAACACTTCCAAAATCTCAAGTGGCAAATGTCACCAAATTTTGGACATTTCTCAAACACATTATTATACTAATAAATGTTGAACATTTAAAGCACTCCAACTTCATGCTCCCTTTTTTTACTTTTTTGAGAAACCTTCATACCTCCTTGCCTTTGCTTTGCTATCATTTAAATTCCTCTAAATAACAAATTTCATTTGTAATTTAAAATACCACAAAGGCCAGCATCCTGCTGGTTAGTTAGACTGGCATAAGCGCAGTGGAATAACTGCAGCAGCAAATTGCTGCTAGTTAAGAAGCTGCTGTTTGTCTCCCTCACCGCAAACCAATTTTGTAAGCTGGTGCACAGTGAGGGATGCAAGCGGTGACTTAACTAATGACAGTCTGCCACTCTGATCTACACCAGTTTATGTATGTAACAGGACTCTGATCAAAAACGAATAAAAGTATTGTAAATTAAAATACACACAAAGAGTTTTTTTCTTTAGAAAAAGTTAATTAAAATGTTGTCTATCTATTGTAGAAATTCTTTTAGCTAATAAAAGCAGTTCTCTGTGAAGATCCCACAATCTCCCATCTTGGCGCTTGGACCTTCTTCACAATACTCTAATGGGGCACATTTCCCATTCCTGGAACCAATATTCCAGAAATTTTTTAAGTGTGAAAATAACTTTCATAGGAGAAATGTAACCACAACTAACGAATGGAAGAACTCTTTCCTGACCCATCCCCATGTATCCTTCTTGACCGAATCTCTGTGTCAAGAGGTGTTCAGAATCCATGAGATACAGGAGGGCGTGCCATTTCCGTATGCAACTCTTCTTTCACATTATTTTATAATCACCACCATCATTTTTGAACTACAGAGCTGGAAGGGACTCTATGGATCATCAAGTCTAGTCCCTTTCAAGGAGGTACAGTGGGGAATTGAACTCCGAACCTCTGGCCCCACAATCAGAGACTTAAGCCACTGATCTATCCAGCAGTTCCATTTGACCATTGGTGACCCCACCTCACAATTTCCTTTCCCCATTAATTCAAACCTCTTAGCTAAAAGAGGAATGGACTGATAAGCACAAGCACTTACAGCATGTCGAGTGCCACCATGACAACGTTTTTGACCCTAGCTCCAGCACAGAGATCCTTGGAGATAACTCTCTCCCTAGTTTTCAGTAGCAAAAATTCTTACATGTAGAAATCTAGTCTAAACGAAGCTAGAACCTTTCCTATTGATCTTTATTGTTGTTTAGTCGTGAACAAAAGCCTTGGCATTACTATGCAGGAGCCTTCATTTCTGAGCTATCATGAACTGCAATCCAGGAATCAAGGAGATGCCTTCCCCAGCCATAGCTTTTGCCTCCCAGTACCACTTCCTCCTTTAATAGAGAAAGCAAGGTGATAAATCAGTTCCAAGTACTTCCATGCTCTCATATCTCCATTTAAAAATGTTTCTTTTTCTGCCCTGCTAATTACTGACAGTTACTGAACTATACAAAAGCAATTTGGCCGCCATTTAACAAATGTCAGCAATAGAAATGCATGTTCTTATCCTCAGGAACAGGGAAAGCATCTGAGAGATGAAAACACCAAGGCAGCGGAAGGGAAGGGAATGGAGGGGAGACATGAAACAACATGTAGCAGAGCACTCACTAAACACGCAAATCCCTAAGTTTGGTTCTATGAAAAAAGCCGTGCCAATTAGAATCGTTCCCTTACCATTTCTCGGATAAGGGCTAGAGCAAACATCATGATCACGGTTAAATTAGATTCTGTAGTTCAGCAATCCTAGGTACAATGGCTGCCCAACTTGTGTTCACCATATCATAAGATTAAGGCATAGAAAAGCTGGTCCTTGGGCAGCTAGTACTAACAGAAGGTAGCTTAGCAGAAACATATTACAATCGATGTGTATATAAGGCTATTGTACATAGGCATCCTTCAGTCTCGAAAGACTATGGTAACGTGCTCTGTATGGAGGACTTGGAACAGCGTCTAGTGTGGCTGAGAAGGCCAATTCGAGAGTGACAATCCCTTCCACACTGAAGATAAATCCAATCTGTCCCCTGTCCAGCTCCCTGATTTTGCTACTTTCGTAACTGCCTCTTTGCCTCGGCCTGCCGGACAAGGGTCTCTTCAAATTGGGAGAGGCCATGATGCACCGCCTGCCTCCAGGCTGAACGCTCAGATGTCAGGGTTTCCCATCTGTTAAGGTCCATTCCTAAGGCCTTCAGATGTCCTTGTATTGCAGCTGTGGTCTCCCTCTGGGGGGATTTCCCTGCACTAATTCTCCATACAGGAGATCCTTTGGAATCCGACCATCAGCCATTCTCATGACGTGCCCAAGCCAACGTAGACGTCGCTGTTTCAGTAGTGTATACATGCTAAAAATTCCAGCTCGTTCTAGGACTACTCTATTTGGAACTTTGTCCTGCCAGGTGATACCAAAAATCCGTCGAAGGCAACGCATATGAAAGATGTTCAGCTTCCTCTCCTGCCGTGCACAAAGGGTCCAGGACTCACTGCAGTACAGGAGTGTGCTCAGGACACAGGCTCTATAGACCTGGATCTTGGTATATGTCGTCAGCTTCTTATTGAGCCATACTCTCTTTGTGAGTCTAGAGAACATGGTAGCTGCTTTCTCGATGCGTTTATCCAGCTCGACATCTAGAGAGAGGGTGTCAGAGTTTGTTGAGCCAAGGTACACAAAGTCATGGACAGCCTCCAATTCTTGTGTGGAGATGGTAATAGAGGGAGGTGAGACCACGCCCTGGCCCATGACTTGTGTTTTCTTCAGGCTGATTGTTAGTTCAAAGTCTTGGCAGGCCTTGCTAAAACGATTCATGAGTTGTTGGAGGTCTTCAGCAGAGTGGGCAACAATGGCTGCATCATCTGCGAAGAGGAAGTCCCGTATGCATTTCAGTAGGACTTTGGTCCTCGCTCTCAATCTAGAGATTGAGAGAAGGCTACACCTTCCATTGAAAGCACTGAAAAGCAAGATTCAATTTCCCCTCTGACCAAGGCCACTAAGTCCCATTTGATGCATTCTGCAGGAAGAATTATTGATTGGTTGATTGATTGATTGGATTTATACAGTGCTCAATTAGTGGAAAATGCTGATTCGGCTAGTGTACATGATGAAATGACAAAAACCCCAACCTCCCTGCCCTCTATTCTGATTTTGTTCTATAATCAATAACAAAAGGAGTCATAACAATGACAATGAAATACCCGTATGGTGACAACCAAGAAAACAAAAAAGATTTATATACAAAGTATTACTAAACTCCTACCTATGGGGTTATGTTCTTAAAATCCATTTTAAATAGTTCCGCCTTTGCTAATTTTCTGAATGCTCAACAGGACGGAGCCTGATGCATCTCCAACGGAAGTTTATTCCATAGGGATGGGGCCACGACAGAGAAGGCTTGATTCCTCGTCGACACCTTTCTCACCTCTCTTGGCGTGGCCACCCACAGTAGCAACGCCTGGGAGGAATGAGTGAAATGGGCAGCTGTTTTTTGGAGGAGATATTCCAACAACTATCAAGGTCCCAAACCATTCAGGGCCATGTAAGTCAAAACCAACACCTTGAATTGGGCACTAACAGGGAGCCAGTGCCAGTGAACCAGTATTGGGGTTATATGACTGAATTATCCTACTCCCAAAATCAGCCTGGCCACTACATTTTGGACCTGCTGAAATTTTTGCACCATCTTCAAGGGCAGCCCCATACAGCACTCATCTATTCTTGAGGTTACCAATGCATGTATATATGTTGTTAGGGATTCCTCATACAGATGGGGTGCAACTGAGCATAATATAATCCATGATGAAGCTCCTTATTTGGAACAAAGTTGAATAATGTTGCTTCTGTGACAATAAAATATTCCTGACAGCTGCAACCCCACTGTTGCCCATCAGCTGCAGGCTGCATATGAAGCTACCTTATACTGGCAATTATTCTGCATGTTTGCTGAGGAATCTTTTGCAGCTGGTAGCTAAACTGAAGATCTTTTGCTTGCCAAGCATATGGTTTGCTACACCTCACTCGCTCACCAGTTACTCTTCCAAGTGTGCCTGACATCATAGTCATTGATCTGGTGCTTATCAGCTTGCTCATCTAGGAAGTCAAACATGTACTTGATGGCCAGAGGCAAGGCACTCCCTCGATGGGCCGTACTGAAGATAGTCTCAAACAGGTCATCCACAAACTTCTGCAACGTCCCCTAGATGCAAAAAGGACAGAATATTTGCACAGTAAGTACTAAGCTTGTCATGCACGGAAGCAAGACAACAGCAGTTAAATACGTGTTTCAGCTTCCCATTCCTTTCCTACTGGAGGCTGGACATCATCATGGCTACCTGGATTTTTTGTGCAGTGGCTGTAAGCAGTGGCACATCTCAAATCAATCAACAAGATTTCTGAGATAAGTTCTTTCTCATATTTTACCCTGAATTACTTGTTGTAAAGATTTCTACTTTTAATTCTTCCTTGTGACTGAGGTTACATGTTCTATTAGTTTTTACTAATTTGGCTTTTGTGTTTCTTCATCTGTCACTATCTCCATTTAGAGCATTCTTAGCATCCTGCAGTAAATCCATATTTCAAACGCTTCTATCTTTTTTGTAGTCACTTATATTAAAATGGCCTATGATGCCATGGGACATGACAGAACCAGAAATGTATAGCACTATAAAATACATATTGCTGAAGTCAATGTTAAGTTTTCTTATTGTATTTTTTATCTGAATGAAACTGCCCTGGGCCATCTCTGTTCTGCCCAAGCTGTCTTAGAAAGAATAAAGAACTTGTCGATATATTATAAGCAGAAAGACTGTATTATGAAAGGATGAACAGAAGCGTCACCAGTGGAAATAAGAGAACCAAACACGATTGTTGGATTGTGCAGGACAACTTCATTTGTCCTTTCAAAAATAATAATAATAATAATACAGCAAATATGGCATCTGCTAATAGACCTCATATATTTATACCCCACCATAAAATGGAAAATGTTGTAAATGGGCTTTCTAGATAATCTCCATTCTAGACTCTGGTGATCAAATTATGTGCTATCAAGTTCATTCTCACAAGGTATAAAATACTCAGGTATAAATTACTCTTGGGGGCACTATGGGATTGTGCAGCTTGCCCAAGGCCTCACCATGGGAAATCAAACTCTCCATTTCAGTTTCCGCAGCCAGGTACTCATTTGACCCATTGAGCTATCCAGTCAGTTAAGTAAGACTTGAAGTGTCACAACACTGGTAATTTACGTACCACACCACAAGAAATTTGAGTGTTCTAACATGTATTTTTAATCAGTAACTCAGAATATCATTACAAATGACCCTAAAGTATTTTGAACAGTACAGAGCAACCCTGTGCAACTCTTTTCCCATGGACACATCATGATTTGTTAGAAGTGCAGCTAGTCTCCTCTTATCCATCTATAAAAGATGGTTCATGTGCCATAGGTTTTCCTCAGTCAGAGAAATAAATATTTTTTAGAGCTAACAGTGGAGGAAAACAGAATTCTTCATTTTAGTAATAAATGGTATTTGACAGAATTTTAACTTTTCATTACACATCCGCAACTCTTGACATTTACATGTGATGGTGAAGTATTATAGACACAATTGTGCCATCTGTAGGTATTATTATTATTATTATTATTATTATTATTATTATTATTATTATTATTATTATTATTATTATTATCATCATCATCATCATCATCATCATCATCATCATTCCACATCCCCAAATTTTTCAATATTTCCCCAGGCAGGATTCTGGGAGCTGCTGCCCACAGATCCGCATGGATAGACAGCTAGATTTCACTCATCTGGACTACGACTTGTCTTCAAGGTTGTACCATTGTCTTTGGCCTTACTTCTGATTGTTAATGTACACAAAATGGAAGCCATGATGCTTCCTGGCGGTTGTAGTTCTTCAGGAGACACACTCTATAGAGCCTAAAAGGCAGCAAGACTACAAAACGCAGGATGCATCACAGCAACTTCATTTTTTGTACATTAGCTACAGGAAGCGAGGCCTGAGACAGGCATGCAGCCTCAGAGATAGGCCTTGGTCCAGACGAGCAAAATGCAGGTGCTTATAAGTACAGCAGTACCTCGGTTTACGAATTTAATGCATTCTACATGACGTTACGTAATGCGAAAAATTCGTAAACTGAAATGCAGTTTGCCATAGGAACGAGGGCGGCGATATAAACCTCCTGGCACAATGCATCCTGGGGAAACTTCCTTCGTACTGCGGAAAAAAAAACGTAATGGGTTTCCGTTCGTAAACTGAAAATTATGTTAATCGAGATGTTTGTAAACCCGAGGTACTACTCTATCCGAAAGTGTGGGTCCTATGTAAGGGTTAGATCTTCTAGAATTCTGACTGGGAAACTTTCAGAGAATTCTGGGATTTGAAGTCCAAAAGGAAAAAAAATGTATGGCATATTCTCTAATTGTAGATTTATCAGCAGGAAAAGAAGATAAGAGAATAATCCTAATCTTTTGAGATTTCAATTTCAGTGTTTGTGCTAAGCACATGATCCTTTTTTCCCCAAATGAATTCCATGCTTTGACTACTAAGGAAGATAATCACATAGTGCTGCCGCTTGTCACCTCATGTATAATGTAGCTAGTGAAAAAATAAAACATTCATCACATTGAACAAGAACCCTGGTTTAAGATGAAGCTTAATGAAGCTGGAGGCCATTGTTAATCATCGTAGCAAGAACCTTCTTTTTGGAAAGGGACATTGACTCATTGTTCTCAACAGCAGATCTTCTGAATGGTAAAGGAATGCCCGAAAAGGAGATGAGTGATCTTCCTCCCTCTCTACCTATGGATGGATTAACCCAAGTCACTGTGAAGAGAGACCATAGTTTGAGAGTGACAAAGACACAGACAGCTGTGTTTAGGCTCTGTAAACATCCTTATAGGCATTTGATGTGGAAGTAGTGAACTTTGGTTCTCTGATACAGTCTCTAAGCTGTGTGCCTCCCACTGTGTGTAGGCCTGTGAATTAACAGAAATATTGCAGAGCATCAATAAGCCGCTAGTGAACTCCTTGCAAAGGAAATCAAGCCCAAGAAAGCCGACTGCCTGGTGAATTCCTCTGACTGCTTGGAGAAATGGAGTGAACAATGCATCTCAGTGTCTCAGGTTTATGCGAAAGGTATACTGAGGTACGACGCTATCGTTTAGCACAAACCTGCGATACTCAGATTATCATTCAGCCAATTACCAACAAGAAAATGAATGGTGCTGGAACATTTCTAAAATTTATTACATGGTTTAGGTATACCCTAGGGGAAACATTCAGTGGTGCTACTTGCATGCAGCTGCTGCAGCAATTGTAGAATTTTTCAGTTTGATGAATTTCACAGTGTTATTTTTGTTTGCTGGGCAACAAATCTTTTATTGTTAACCATTTGATTTACATCAGAAACCAGTGCAGCAATTATACCATGTGAGCAGTCCAGTATTTGTCTCCTTGGCCAGTGGACTTTTAATGCTCCCTCGCCTCCCTTGCTTTTGCTGATGCAGAGTACCGGCAAAATGAGAGTGTCTATCAAGCATATAAACAATAAGCACTGGGGAAATCAGTGATTGCAGCAACCAGAGGCTGGGATTCAGTTCCCTTCGTCAGGAGCTAGGATGCAAAACCAGCCAACGCAGCTGGGGTTTTAGTTATTTATTTATTTAGGTCAGAGGTAATGGGGCCCAGAAATACCTACTTAGTGTGTAAAGAAATATGAACAAATAGTTTGATAGCATGGTTCAGCTGCCACGAAACAGGAGGGAGGAACCAGCTGTCCTCCCAGAGACAGCCTCTGTTGGACTGTGCTCTCCCAGGCACCCTTGCAAAGGTTCAGAAAATCTTGCACTCCCCAGAGCTCCTTGGGGCCCCGTTTCTCCCTGCTTGTAGGAGGAACAGCTGGGAATCTCAGAAACAGGTGGGTGATTCTACCTCCTGCTGATTTGGGGTTTGCATTCCCATAATTCAGCTTGGGGGGGGAGGAGGGTTGCTGACGACATGTGGGGGTGGAAGTCCATTAAATACAAAAGTATCTTCCCCAGCAGATGAACAGCACCCAGAGGCCAATTAGTGACCTAAAAGGTTTTCCACACTCATAAAAACAAATATTCATTAGAGCTAACAGAATTCTTCATTTCAGTAATAAATAGCATTTGACATAATTTTAACTTTTCATTAATTTTATACATGCAACACACATACGTATACTGTAGATAAAGCACATTTTCTAACAATTGGGTCAGTTGGAATATTCCCCATGTTCTGTATAACCTGGCGATTTGTATGCCTACCCAAAGCTTACAATCTGCCGAAGCAGTCCTCATTCCATTCTGATTTACCTTGGTAGCAAGCAGGCGGGTCAAATAGATCTCTGAGACCATCTTGCTCCCACGGTCACCTTCTCGTTGGTCCATGTGATCATGGTTCTTCACCAGATGCCACAGCTTGGTGCCACTCTCCAGGTCTGGAGTGATCATAGGAGTCCGGGAACGTAGACTGTCAGGACTGCTGGCTGTCCGGAGCATACTCTCTGTGAGGAAACCACATGCAATGGGAACCGCCTCTCCCTCTGCTGAGTCTCAGCCTCAGCTGTCCTCCCCTCCTCCTCACTTAGCTTGCGGCATTGCCTGTCATATCATTGGGAGTACATGATATGTACTCGGCTACCTTCTCCACAGAACTTTATATATTGGGTAGCTTTAAAACGGGGAGAAAATTGGACCTTCCTTTTGCTGCCAAGAGATTGACACACCTGCCCAACAGGGAGTGGAAGTCATTACAGCATAAGGTCTGCCCTGCTATGGGCAGGATTCACCTCCAATTCTAAGCAGCCAAGATACAAAGAGACCAAATATGCCTAAGCCAAGACAGTGCAGGTTGTGCCAGTCAAGCTGTTCCAAATGGTTTGTGCCGGCATATACATTTTCAAAACAGGCTAAAATTCCTTCCAGACTGGACCTCTCCACTGCTTGTGCAACCTGGCAACTGATCTTCCACATTGAAAGCAAAGTCATGATTATGTTTTTGATTTATAACATTCTCCAGCAAAAGAAATATCTTAAGGGGCTTACATTTTACTTTGTTCTTATTAAGTGACATGTCTACCTTTGATTTTACATTTCCCTTAACAATTTATAGTATGTCATACTGGTGTTCCGCTAATAAAGACATTTATTCATGCCCTACGCTTCAGCCAGAACAGGGGTTCTCTGCTTTTGGCCTCCCAGCTAGCACGGCCAATGGTCAGATCCCTGGAATTATTCTAAAACATCTTCAAGACCAAAGGTTGAGAAACACGGAACTAGGAGAACTCCCTGAAGATATACATATTTTACAAAAGCATCTAAGCATAGGTGCTTATGAGAGAGAGAATCAAGAAAGAAATTCCTAAAGTGGCACAGCTGACAGTTCTGCAGTAAGCAACTCCAAGAATAGCTTGGATGACATTCTCACACAAAATGTGGAAGGGACTTAATTGAAACAGCCCCACCGTGTGTAATATGGGATGCTTTTTTGGTCTTTGCTTGCTTGGGAAGATTCTGATTCATAACTGCTGGTCTGTCCCTAAATTCCAGGCAGCAAACAAACAAGGATATTTTCTCCCTTACCATATCTGCTGAGTGACTTGGTAAAGGTGGAGGAGTTTGAAATGTTGTAGGCCGAGTTCTGCTTGGGCACCAGTGCCACTGAGGAACCATCAGTCACCTATAAAGAATATTAACAACATTATAGCCAAAGGGACATTTCAAGTTCACAAGCCCTGCACTTCTCATCTCAACAGTATTCCTTCCCCAAAGAAAAGGAAGCTGAAATGACCGTTTTAGCTGTCTGTTTAACGGGTTTCCCTCAATGTCTAGGACGTCTGACAGGATGGGCCATGCCTCTGGAAGGAATATTGATGCTCAAGAAGAATGATCAAAGGCCTGTCTCCAACATCTAAGCCAACTGCCACAAGATGTGGCAATAGCCACCCCTGCCAATATTCTGAAGTGTATTTCAACCTAGAATTGTTCCATGGTGTCCACCTCCTCAGTTCTATATTCACGACAACTAAATCGACTCAAAAGTGTAGGTGAACACCCAAAACAGCCTTGCTTGTGACTTGCAAAAGTGTAATGAAAACATGTTAGTGGATTGAGAGTACATGAATTTCTTTGGCATAAAATGCAAGAATGGATCCACGTTTGTTAATAACTGCCTGGTTGGACAGATGTGTCTCCATACCTTTAGGATGTGGTAATTAAACTCCTTCGGCTATTTACTCCCTCTGGGGGATGTCAAGGCCCATCTTGTCAGACCATATGCTTAAACAGAATACAGATGCGGAACATGGGGAGGTGATCAGATAGCTGCAAAGGGACACATGACTGCAATGGAAAAGACCACTTTAATGGAAGTGATCTCCCTCGAAGTGACCCTTCCATTTGCTCCAAAAAGGTTGAGCCTGATAATGGACTGAGGAGAGGCTGCAGTCCATTTCCCCATGTATCATGTGATCACCAGGAAATAGATCACACTGCTCCACAACCAGTTCAAATTGCAACTATTTCCCTGTTTGATCACATCCTTAATTTTATGAGCAATTACATATTCTAGGTTCTGTTTCCCATTTTCAGAACCAATTATGCATAAGGTGAACACAGCAAAGAAGATGACAGTCAAACTTAGTCTTACTTGCTCCTTATCAGATTTCTTATCATTTACCAGTTATCTTACTATTACAAGCTTCCTTCCTCAATATTGAGGACTAGGAGCTTTATTTTTATTTTAAACAAAAGTCATGGTTTTCAAGATGTCCAAACTTGGCCTATCCAGCTCCATATTTGCGTATGTGAATTTTATGCATCCTGAATGTAGCCTGGTCTAGTGCTTTCCCCAACACAACAGCAGTAGGAAAATCATGGGCAAGGGCAGTTCACAGTGCCGATCTCTCCACATATGAGACATCTAAACCAGGGGTTCCCAACCCCTGGTCCGTGGTCCAGTGCCAGTCCATGGCCATGGCAGGACAGCTCTCCCCCCCCCGCACACACTTTCCCCATGCATGGCCAACCCACCTGCATGCATGGGTGCCCTGCTCCTCCACGCATGCGCACAAGCATGCCCCACTGCACACAGACCCCGGCTGGGTGCCCTGCTCCTCCACGCATGCGCACAGACCCCGGCCCCCAACCGGTCCGCAGTTTAGAAAGGTTGGGGACCACTGATCTAAACTGGGTGTTGTTTATACTAAGTCATCTGCTTTCTTATGCCACACCTCCACAGTTAAAACCAGTGGACAACCACACCTGGTAATGGGCTAAGGTGTTGAGTCTTTTCCAGTCATTGTCGATCTTTGTGGTTACATCTTCATCTTGAAGTATTATCCGAGCCATCCTGCCCTGCCGCCACTCTGCACCGATGGAAGAGAAGGGCATGGGGTCACTGGGGATCGTGCTCACTTTGGACAGATCACAGAACGAAAGGCATGGAGAACATGTGAATGAGGCGTGGCACAAACAGTTTTAAAAAGCCACACCCCACTTAACCCTTCAGTAGTCCTGCCAACAAGCCACAGCTAAGAGAACCTTGAAAGAGGAAGGCTGAGGAAACCTTTGCTTTTTCAGATGTTATGGTACAGTTGGATCCCATTTCTCAACAACCTTGGCTAATATGGCTAATGATGAAGGATAACGAGTAGGCCATATATCAACAATATGTGGAGGGCCAGAGGTTCCCTGCTGTAAATGAAACCAGCCATACTTCAGCTGAGCTGAACCATCTTCTCCTTTTTGTGTTCCACTTAGAAACGTGTGACATCCCTAGTGTTAAGCCGCTCAGCTCTGTCTGGTGAATCACCAAGCAACAGAAGTATCATCAGCTCACTCCACTTCCCTCTACTGATTTTTTTTAATGTGAGGCTCACATTTTTTTCAATGCCTCCAAAGTTTTAAAACTTTGTCCCCTGATCTTATAGCTCTATAGTCTGTTCAGGTTATTCAAACAAATGTTTAATCAGAGGTTACAGCTTTCCTTATATCTTACAGGGCTACCTTTATGACACAGCACAACACAGAAGACAAGAGTATAGAATACAGCTATTGCATTCCCTGATAAAGTATTAAATGGACCAGCAAGTTTGCATAAATAACATTTTCTTCTGAGTGAACTAACGGGTGTGCTTGCCTGCATGTATAACAAAACACACTCATTTCATCTTTAAGGTGTTACATGCTTACATTTTATCTTAGTTTTGTTTTTGTTATACGTGTTGAAACATATGTGGCCCTTAAAGACGTGTATTAGCCCATCTATCTCTCTTAGCAAACACCCTTGCTTCTTGAGAGCTGTCTCTCTGTCCAACTAGGCTTCACTCCTACCTGCTAGGTTAAATCAAGGTCTGCCCCAATCAAATGTTGTTATTTGCACTTGTGAGACTTGCCCAGGTGCAGAATGACGAATCATCTCCTGTCTATTACTTATCTCTTTGTAGCTCCTTCTCTTAAGGCAAGTTTAAAAGATCAATTCCCGTGTCAGAACTCAGCTGAGGTAAAAATGGGAAAGAGTCTGAGGAGAAGCAAGCTGCAGGCGGCAGACACTTCTCTTTGCTCCAACTTGCCAGAAAACTCAGGTATAAAACAACAGGTCTACTACGCTTAGACAGAGCTTACATGAACACCGTAATACTTCTGGCCACTCTACCTTGTAATTCTTTCAGGCACAAAGTCTAGTTTCTTTATCTGAGCCATCTCACATGGAACTGGCTTTGTTATGTGCAGCTTATCCTTCTAAAGATAGGCCTGGTAATGAGGGACATTTGCAATCTACTTGAGGAACACTATTGTGTAGCTAAAATAGGTGAATCTGTTTGGATATCAGGGATTCTGCTGAGATCACTATGACTGCCGTCATCTTTGTACCCAATGAGATGACTATCAGCTGGCAGTTTGAAACTACCATCACCTGCTAGACATTTTGGCAACAGTCTATTTAGTAAATGGAGACAATTACTCATTAAAAGGTTAATAGCATGTTCTTCAAGTAAAGAGTCTTGTGGCACGTTAGAGATTAACAGATTTGTTGTGACATAAGTTTTTATGGCCAATTGTATCTGATGAAGTGCTTTCCGCCAAATCTCACCCTGCATCACTTTGTTAATCTTTAAGTGCTACAAGACTTTTAATGGCTTTTGCGGCAACAGATTTGTACATCTGCCTGCCGGCCACACGGCTGACATGTAATATGAGCTGCCTGAAAATCCAACTTTTACTTTGATCTGTCCCTACAAGAAACAACTGTGTCTCTGCAGCTCACCCAAATCCATGTCTCCGGCCTTGGGTCTCTGGGAGTATGGCACTCCTTTGTACACAGCATCCAGAAGCTTCTCCTTCACTTGTGTGATGGTATCACAGTTCAAGACCTTGACTGGGATCTCAGGAGCATTTTCATTCTCAGGATTCACACAGTTCAGTGTCTACATGGACGAGGTAAATGTGTTTGTATGAGGGGATGCACCACATTCCACAAAGAGTGGGATGGCTGGGCAGGGAGATGGGCAGAAGAAAGACCTGCTAACTTTGAACAGCTTTCCGAACTGCTTTACACCATCGACGGTCATTTTGTACACCGTTCTGAGGAACAAGGACTGGAAGCTGACCCTTCCCACTCCAGTAACATCTATTCTGCTAAGCTAAGGTCAACAAGCTGGGCTATTGCTATTGCCAACCTGTCTAAACACCATTCTCTTTTATTTGTCTTTGATTGATTGATTGATTGATTGATTGATTGATTGATTGATTGATTGATTTGATTTATATCCTGCCCATCTGGTCTGGTCGACCACTCTGGGCGGCTTCCAATAAAAGGGAGGGTTAAGACCACTGAGCCCAGCCGTTCTGATTCCAACAATGGCCAGCCACATGCTGCAAAAAGTTTACAGGCTTCGCAGTGTACTGCAAGAACCCAAGAAGAATTGGAATGGATCAGAACAGAAGCCCATCTAGTCCAGCATTCTTTTCCTACAGTGGCTGAGCAGATGCTTATGGGAAGGCCACAAGCAGGATGAAAATGGTATTTTTCCACTTGGGTTTCCCAGCAACTGGTACAGTATATAGACAGTCTTTGCCACTGGAGGCTATACATGACTAGTGACCACCTTTCCTCCACAAACCTCGCTCATTTACTTGGAAACCATCCCAGTTAATGGTCACAACTATACAAAATATCCCCCTCTAGTGGTCGAAGGCAGAATAGCAGCTTCCCATTAGTTTCTATGGACGGAAAAGAGCAGATACGGATCAAATGGTTTTCAATGCATTCCTATGGGAAATGCAGATTTGACCTGAGAACTTTTTGACTTGAGAACCGCCTTCCAATACGGATTAAGTTCTCAAGTCAAGACCCCACTGTACCTGTGTGGGGAAGCACTGCTATTTGATGCCCTTAAACTATGCTTCCATTAGATTTTGTTGTGGTCAATATTATCCGATAAATAAACCAGGTCAGTATGCTCCTGAGTGGTTACTACTATGCAGTATGGGGCTTTTCTCACAGATTAAGCAGAGAATTAATAACAATTTCTTTTGTTTTTAATTTCTCCCAAGAATCACATTACAAAACCCAATGCTTTAATTGCTCTTAGCATCCTGATTATTCCACCCATATTTCTCCTCTTCTTCATCTTTTCCCAGTCTGGCACAAGGGACACTAGCCCTAGCAGGTTCATGGCAAGAACCAGAGTGTGCAAAGGGTCTCACTTTCACTAACCAACATTTTGTAGTCAATTTGTTGACGGATGAGTTTATCTTCACTTAAGGAGTAGCGGGCCTCTCCGGTGATGGCGTCGATTGGCCCCTTCTCCATCTGTTGTTTGATGGCACAGTACAGCATGAACAGAGGTTCACCAGCACATTCCTAAAGAAAAGAAAGGAAAGAAGAATGAAAGGGCATGAGATGTAATATTCGACAGTCCTCTCTGAAAGAACCTTGTGCACCAAGAAGAAATTAAGAATGTTCCATTTCATTATTTCAGAATCAAACTTGCATCAGAGGCTAGTTTTATTAAGCATTATTCTCACACTACTAGAAATTATTGAAAGTACTTCTTGGGAGTAAAATGTGCTTTAAATCAATACACTGAAGTGTCTACTGCAAGATTAAGATCTGGACAGTTATTGAGTTCTCTCTTGTCTCTGTACACTCCTTCATTTACTTTAGCATGGCATTATAATACCTTTAGTCAAGAATGTTGTAATAGTTTCATGTTTGCTTTTATCTTAACCTCTCTCTTTTTGCAATATGCAAGCCTTAAATTAACTATTCTAGCTGGCTTTTTGAAAAAGTATTCACACAAGACTTTCACACTGCAATAGGCATCATCTATTAACAATAAGGCATAGCCTGAAAACAAAGCAAACCGGTGACCTAAATAGATTCAAGAACCTCACTGGAGATCATAGAACTTTTCAGTTCCAAAAAGATAGCTGTGTTACATCGTTTCAGCATGTTGGCAAAACTCTCTCTTTCTTGTGTCTGTATCTGATGCTTTCCCATTTCTAGAGCCAACACATTGGGCTTGTAGGGTTTTAACAACTTAAATAATTTCCTTATTTTCCAGTTTGTTCACCAAGACATGAATCCAAAATTCAGAGATTGCTTTATTACTACAAAATTTCTTTATTACTTCTTTATTACTTCTTTATTACTACAAAATTACTACAAAATTTCAACATAATGATATTTTTACACTTAATACAATATATTACAGTATAATAATAAAATGTGATCTGAGAGATTTTAAACAATTTTCTATTTTATGTTTTAAAAGCTCCTTTAAAGCTTAAAGTCTTTGTGAGAGGTCAACACATGTGGCTGCTACTGTAGACTTTTAAAACTGGACTGTAACTGGTCCTAAATATGATGCTGTGTGATCATAAAATGTTGCTTCAAAGGGTTTATGGGGAAAAAAGGACCAATAACGTTTTTTTCTTTCCATATACAGACAGGCTTGTATGACCGACCACAAGGCACCATTTCTAGGGCTAAGTCTGGCCCTCTTTTGAAAGTACATAGTAAGAGTTGTATTATCTAGCTTCTCAGAGAGGCATTTACCTTTAAAGATACATTTAAAAACAATGAAGAAATTTGTTTTTAAAAGCCCTTTTATCGACCTTGTATCACTGCAGGTTTACCAAGAGGCTACCCTATCCCAATTATACAGACAATGCAAGGCAGGCACAGAAAATTAACTTGGTTTGGATTCAAATTATTGGAAGTTAGGCTTACTATACATTTAGAACCCAGTACAATTGTTAGTCCCTGTCAGCCAAACCAATGAATCAACTGGACTTTGGTAGTCAATAGTTGTCTTCTAGCTGGGTCAAATAACAGAATGTAGCCCTTCAAGATTAAAAGAGTGACAGATTCTGATTAGAAAACAATTAGACCAATATGGCATATATCCCAATATCAAATCTCTTTCAGTACATCTCTTACAACCTGCTTCTTCAGAAAAAACTGTAAGTCAAGTGCAAATTGATACCCTATTATTCACACAGAGTTTCCAGAAGTATGTAGTTCAGAAACAAGTTGTGCATAAATCTGCCTCCTCTAGCATTTCATCTATGGATTGCATTTCAACTACCTTCTATGGATTTCTTGTTCTTAAAAAACAAAAACAAAACTCAGCTCATATTATACAACACTTCACGGCAACGAGGCTCACATATCAATCATGAGATGTATGAAATAAGTGCTTCCTCTAATTTCCTCTACATTTACTGCCTGCTAATTTCGCTGGGTGTCCCCTAATACTGCCATTACATACAAGAAGAAATACATAATTGGCTACTCAGTTTCCCCATACTAATAAAAGAAACAATACAACTTGGCAATTATTTCACAACTTAACCATCTGACCTATGCTTAGACTTTTTAGAACAGCAACACAAAAATGCTCAAGGGAGCAATTTTAATGGAAATGCAGAATTTTGTGCAAACACATGTAGATGAAAGGGAGAAAAAAAACAAGCGGAAGAGAGAAAAACAGAAACAGAGAGTGGATTGCCACAGAATCCCAGCCCAAAGAGAGCTGTTCTCTACACTTAAGTGTCTGTGATAAAAGTGGATTGTATGTGAGATGCAGAAGCTGGGGAGACAAGTATGGGTGGGAATAATAGGGTGATGGTAAGTGGTGCTTCTGACATAAACTAAAGGGATCATCCAACTGTAGCACGATGAAAACAGATGAGATAGGAATTGTGCTTTCACAATGCCATAGTGCTGAGACACACCTTATCCTTTAAATACATCCGTATTAGCTGGTGCAGATTTTCCTCCCCAAACAAAGTAGAGATGAAAGTAGGATGGACAGGGACAAAAAACCCAAGTTATCTCAATCCTGTCACCTTTCCCCCTACCGGCCACCATAACAACAAATTCTACTTTGGTGCAAAGTGCGCCTGCTCTCTCTGTCACCATATGTTGTTAGCATCTCGTTAGCATCTGCAGTAATTAAAGAGACAGCTGCTAACGAGCAGGAACAGGCATACATCATCCCTAGACCTTCCAACAACACGCCTGTCTTTGAAATTATGTTTCATTTGCAAACTTGGCTTCATTAAGCCTGGCTGAGAGGGGGGAAAAAAACAAGAGATTGAGAGAACCAATGTGGGGACTCTGCTGTTTATTAATAACTGTCTTGTCTCCTCATAATGCACAAGCCAAATGATGGCCGTACGTTAACAGGCACACATGGCAATTATTCTGCGGCAGGGTAAGGTTTTTCCCGTCGCAGCTTCCTCTTCCCCTTTGAGGGGAGGCCAAAAAAATGTAAGGCTCTTCCAAGGAGCTTTTTGATTGCTTATAAAAACTAGCTGCAAACCACTCAGCCACGAAAAAGAACACAGACGGAGAATAAATTGAAGATGGCTCCTTGGTCACATCTCGTTTGTCTGCTGCGTCTTCTCTGTGCAGATTATTTATTTATTTATTTATTAAGCGTTTGCAGTTGGCCAAGGAGCAACACACTGCTTTGGAGCTGAAGAGCCTGACCTTTCATCAAGGCTGTTTACAGGCACTCACAAAAGTGGTGGATTGCTTTTTAAACATATAATCTCTGAAGTTGAAACCATTTATTGTTCTCAGTCCAGAGATGTTCAGCAGATACAATGCCCAACAAAGAGAATGCTCTATGTGTGTGTATGTTTTAAAGCTCTAGGTAGATATTAACGAATTCATTTCTCCATGTTTACTACTGGTTCATGAGCTCTTCAAATCCTGGATTTTGGCACCATGTAACAGACTTTTCTGTAAGAACTAGTGGGTTCAGTATAGGTTAGCATGTATTTGTTATCAATGCACTAAAAATTCTAGTCTCCCCTTTTGTGGTTCATTGTAAAACCAGTGGCTGTTTAAAGTGTTGCACAGAATTAGGGGAGAGGGACAATACCCCAAAGTTCTCTGCAAGGTACAAACACATACGCACATATTGCAGAAACACAGTAGTCTGTCGTAGTTCATTGGACTGATCTGGTCATGGTGATGCATGCCTTAGTTACATCCCATTTGGATTACTGCAAGTCATTCTACTTGGGGCTGCCTTTGAAGTATGTTTAGAAAATTCAGTTGATTCAGAACATTGCAACCAGGCTGCTGACTGGTGCAGGTTATATGGAGCATGTAGCTCCCTTGTTACAACAGCTTCACTGCCTGCCAGTCTGTTTCTGGGTCCAATTCAAAGTGCTGGTTATTACATATAAAAGCCCTACATATGGCTTGGGTATGGGCTATTTGAAGGATCATATCACCCCATATGAGCCTTCTTCGTTTTTAAGATCTTCTGGGGAGGCCCTTCTCTCAGTTCCACCACCTTCTTAAGCTCGTTTGGTGAGGACATGAGAGAGGGCCTTATTGGTGGCTGCTCCCGGGCTCTGGAATACACTTTCCAAGAAGCCAGGTTGATCCCCCCTCTCTTGTCTTTCCATTGCCAGACAGAGATCTCTATCTTCAGGCAGCCTTTTAGGCAGCAAGTTATCTCAAGAATGCTGGTTTTTAACTTAGGAAGTTTTAAAATGCCTCAGAATTATTTTTCTTGTTTTTAAAATCATATACAGTGGTGCCTCGCTTAACAGGCGCTCTGTTTAGCGACGAAATCGCTTAGGGATGACTTTTTCTGAGCGTTTTTGCGCTTCAATTAGTGATGGTCCCTATGGGCGATTTTCGCTTAGCGATGGTTGGGACCATGCTTCGCATAGCAATTAAATTTTGGGTCCCCTGTTTCACTTAACGATGGTTTAAACAGCCTCATGTTTGCTGTTTTTTAAATGTTTTTCTGTTATTTATAAAGATAAAGTTTACTGTTTAAAATGTTTGAAATCATAAAGTGCACTTAATAAACCCTTTGTTAACCAAATTTGACTTTGTTCTGACTCTTTTTTAATTTGTTGTTGTATTCCCCCCCTTGAGATGCATTGAATAGGTTTCAATGCATTTCAATTGGGGAACCACGTTTCACTTAACAATGTTTCCTATGGCGATTTTCGCTTAAGGACGGCAATTCGTTCCTATTGGAACGGATTATCTGGTTTTCAATGCATTTCAATGAGAAATTGCATTTCGCTTAGCGATGAAATCGCTTAGCAGCGATTTTTTTCCGGAAAGAATTAACATCGCTAAGCCAGGCACCACTGTATGTTCAATTGTTTTTAAAATATGATATTTATATAGTGTTTTAAATCTGTTGTTTTATTTGTTGTGAGTTGCCTTGGATCTCCTATGGGCAGAAAAGTGACATATAAATAATTTAAATAAAATAAAATAGAATAAATAATATTAGGAACGGCAACACCTAAAAACTAGTTTCAGAACACTTCAGCCCCTCCGGACTTTCTGTTACAATCTTAAAGTAACTATTG